GCTCCATCTCGACCTGCTTGTCAAGTTCCTTCAGGAGATACGCTCGTGCCTCATCTTTGTGCTTCATGAAGTCAAGCTTGCAGTTGGACTTCTGGATGTAGTCCCAATGCCGCCACTCACCATCCTCAAATTCATCCTCGTCCGCATAGCCACTGGCCTTCGCAAGACCACGGTGGACCTTTTGCGCTAGCTTCGTCACAGCTGCAATCTCTTCCTTGCGCATAGTTTTAATTGGTTGAGGTCGATCCAAAGTTTGTAGCTGGCTTGCACCAGAGTCGTGGCACTTGTCTCAATTCATTATCCAAGTAGTAAGTGACCTCCTCATGGCCAAGAACCTACGTGAACGAAAGAAGCGCATGGGCGATTCGACTTGGCTTTCACATATCCAGTCTCAGCAAAGATGGCAATCAGTCACAACACACCAGCCTCATCATCTGCCACACCCTCCTACCAACGCCACTTGAGTGGGTGTAGGCGAAGTCAAACGAAAAGGCTGGTCCTGCTTCTCAAGCTTGGCCTGATCTGGTCTGGCCCTATGCTTCACACCAAGCTGCATAGGGCGAGTGAGTCAACTCATGAAGTCGTTGTTCCTCCTTGCTTGGTGTCTTGGATACAGCGTGCTCAACAGGTCGTCTCGACAAAGCTGCTTCAGCGCTCCTTGTCAAATCTCTTGCCCTCATCAGCTCCAACTTCCCCCGGTGCTCAACAAGCCTCTTGAAGCATTTGGCCTTTCCTCCACTCTGGCCAATCTTGTAAAAGGCACACGCAGCTCTCAGCCCTCTCAATGGCCTTTCCGCTGTCAACTCTATCTCGTTCACTTTGATCCTCTCTGGAATTGGAATGCCCTCAATTCAAATCTCACTTCCTGATCTGCAAAATCACGTCCACCTTCGAATTCTCCGATGGCCATTGGAACCTCTGCGCCATCGATGTCATCATGCTCATCGTCGATGTCATCATGTTCATCGTCAGCCTCATAGGGCCAACTCCTCACGCACCTTCGCCTTGAGTCGCTGGGGGCCAAACTCGAAGGAACCCATGTCAAAGCCGAGCTCCTCCGAACTTTGTGGGGCGTCATAGTGCGCCACAAAACTCAACACTCTCGATCGCGCAATCTCCTTCAGTTCCTCAATCATCAAGACCGTCCAAGGGCTCTGTCATCTCGACTAGCTCCCATAACCATCTCTCTCCATCAGCGTAGGCCCGCATAGTCCAGCCTGCTGTTCTCTCAAGGCAGGGATGCACGGGGGGTCTGAAAGTCTTTGCTCAAATGATAGCCAACCCACACCTCACCACGCTTGCTCCATCCAATAGGGGCACCCACAATGCCCTTAATCTCTCTCTCAGCACCGCCTTCAACGCGCGAACGCGTCCAGCCTGCACAAGGGTCCTGATAAAGCCCCTCACAACTAGACTCTTGTTCTGAAACGTCAGCGGCGCCCGAACACTTCCATTGAACACGCAATGCTCCTGAGCGTCGATCGACCACCCTGCTCTCAGCAAGTGGCCAAAGGATAGGACGGGCTGAACCACAACGTCACTGAAGGTGACTCGTTCCTTCAAGATCACCTCTCTCTCACCTTCGGCATGGAGTGTGATGCTCACGCCACGATTTGATCACTCTCATCACCTCCATCTGAATCTGCCTGGCCCACCATCTTAATGGACAAGTTCATTGAGAGGTCAGAATCATTCTCACTGTCACTGCCGTCATCGATGTCCATGTTGAAGAACTCGACCTTCTTCTTCTTCTTCTTCTTCTTCTTCTTCTTCTTTCTTCTTCGGTTCAAAGCCCTCAGCACATGTCCTCAAACTCGAATTGAGTCTGTCGCCAAAGTTTACAGGTTGTGAAACACGACGGATGGCCTTGGTCACACTGCTGTCTCCTCCACTTGCAGCGCTCAACGTAGTGGAAGGAGTGGTTGTGGCCTGGCTCGAAGACGCTCGTGATTGAATTGGCGATGCTTCGATTTGGCGAACTCGCCCGCAGTCCTTGGACGCGCCCTTCAGGGCGTCCACAGGTCCAGCATGTGTCACAGTCGCCTTTCCCTTTGCCCTTCTGGTCCTTGTTGGACTTGCCCTCGCCATCCGGTTTGCCACCACTTGGCTTGCCTTTGCCCTTGTCTTTACTCTTGTCATCTTTGCTCTTTCCTTTGCACATACCATCTTTGCAACCTTTTCCCTTGCCCTTTGACTTTCCATCTCCCTGTTGCAACCTCAATCTCCATGGGAACAAGGCCATTGGGATCTGCACCTGACTGCATTGGGCTCATAATTGAAGAGAAGCTCAAAGCTGCGCTCTCGTTCCGCTTGGCGTTGGCCGCGTCGAAAGCCAAAACCGCTTCTGGTAGGAGCTTCCCTCATTCGGTGATCACCCTCAGCAAGACCGCCGAACGAAGGTCTGGTGAAGCTTTCCCCCCAAGCTTCTCGTATTGGTTGAAGTGTTCCTCCAACTTCAGGGTCTGCGGGAGGACGCTGGTCTTCATGTTGAAGTTGGGATAAGCCATTATATTTCCCCTGCAGTCGATTCATCGTCCTGTTGCGAGCTTGGGGCTAACAGTTGACCAAGAGTTGTCGAAGAGCTTCGTGTCCGTTACAGTTGTCAACATTCTTGACCAAGCCGATCAACCGTCCCTGCACTAGGGATCCCAACAGGGAATAGCTCTTTGGTCTTTGGGATCCAGAGGTCCCAGGCGGTCTCCACGCGATCTTCTCCAACTCTGGTTGAAATTCGCTGTCAACCACCACGGTACTGCTTCAAGCACCAGTACCAATCTCTCCACTGCAGCATCTCCTGTTCCCTATCCGAGGGATTGAACACACCGATCAACTTCGCCAAGTCTTTCTTCATCACACCTGAGCCTTCTTCCGCACCAGTTGTTCCTCCTCCAGATGAAGAAGCAGCTGAGGTGGCCTGTACGGCCTGAGCGGCCCGCATTGGCCGTGGCTATCAAAGCCTGAGCCAACTCCGGGAAGCCAGTGAAGTCCATCCCAACTCCACCTGAACCATCCATGACCCAACCTGGCCTGCAAAGGTCAGTTCAACCTCCTTGGTCGTCCAAGTAGGAACTCCTGCTGAAACTCAGTCGTCTGCTTGAAGTCGTGGAAAAGGGCAATCGTAGCCGAAGATGTTCTCCGCTCTAGGTGGCCAAACATGCGCAGGCACAGATTGCGAGATCCTGCAACACTAAAATGGGTGGCTCGGCGAAGACAGGGGCGAGCTGAGGCTATGTGAGGCCAGGACCCAAAGGTTCCCTGGAGCTCAAGTCAGACCGCAATGGAATGACTGTCACTGCTCCGCTACCATGCGGAACCTTTTGAACCTCGCTGTCAAGAGGGTCTCCGTTGCGCGTGTCATCCTTGCGCAGGTGGAATGGATCATGTTTTCCAATATTATATACAGTGTATAATGTCAAGTAATGCCTGCACTTGCAACTGTCTTTGAAACTCTCCAGACCCTGAGGAAAAAACATAAGTTTTTTGCCCTTTCACCGTGACGCATGCAACTTCCGGTGACCTTGGATGGCAGGCCGGATCAGGGAACCGGGAACAACCAAAGTGTCTGGCAGAGACGCGTCAAACTTCCAGACTGGCTCGCAAACAAAACATGAACAGTTAAGTTAACTCAAAAAAGAGTGATTTGTCGGGGCTGCCGTTGAAGCATAGGGTTCGAACAATGTGGCCAACGCTGCTGCATCCTGAGCTTCGCCATACACACATTGCACAAAGCAGCCATGCGGGTGGTGATCCGAATCTGCCAAAGATTTTTCGTCTGCTGGCCTTCCATGACCCACTGTGCCACATTGTCTTAAGGAGAAACTGCTGAGTGGACAGAAGTTGAGTGGATAAATCCATATGTGTGTGCCGCAGGGGTCCCTTTTGTTTCAGGCACCCAACTCGCGACACTGCGCAGCAGGATTGCAACGTGCAAGTGTCGGCAGACCCTTGGGCACTGTCCTCAACTTCTACCATTGTGGCCGTATACCTACATACCTTTGTGGATGTAGCCACATGCCCGCTCTCAGCAGGAGCCTTCCGTGTCAGATGATCTCGATCTACGACACGTGAGGTCACTGTTTCCCAGTCTGATCTGAACATGGAGCTTTTTCACACCAGCCGTGAGAAGCAAAGCAGAACCTTGCAGATGCTGCGCCAAGTCTGTGGGCCACTTCTGCTTTGCCATAAGGGACAAAGGTTGCTTTTGTAGAGACAGTTGGTGGTTCCCAAATGTGAAAGTAAGGCAACTGCTCCTCATGTCTGCTGGACTTTCCGCAGAATGGAACTGCTTGCTAGCTTAATGTCACACATGCTTCAAGTGACGGCGTACCACCCCAGATACAATACGACACAGCTTGAGTTTCTGACTTCACGAGGTGACGCAGTTCCGGGGCCTAGCACGTGGTGCATACATACCTCATTGCCCAACCCTACTGCACACATGTTGTTTCAATGTACGGGTCGCACGGATTGTGTTTTTGCCCTGCCGACCATTCTTTTGTACCGCGCTGCATGTCTCACAATGGATGCAAACTTGTATATATTATATTGACCCACCCGAGTTGCTGCACAGCGCACGCTAAAAATTAGCGCCAGCTTACAAGGTTCTCCAAAGAACATAGTCAATCTTCACACAGCACCAATGTAAAACATCTGTTCAAGGTTTCAACCCTTAATTTGGAGCGAGGCTAAGCACATCGCATCGGCAAGGTCCTTCTGGGCTGTTTCTGCTCCAGGCACGCCATGACTCGGTGAATGGACCATCGAAAACAGGGCCTTGCCAATTAATGTGAGCAGAAAGTAACACTGTGCTTCTTGCGCTGCGTGGCACTCGAAGAATGTCCTTGGCATGACTTTCATGAGGCCACGTGTGTATTTCCAGCTAATTATATAACAATCTCTCCATGTCCATATGTGGCCAAGATTCTGGATGGACTTTGCTGTATGCTGCTGCCTAAACTTCACGGCGCTTTGACTGTATCAGCACATTCGGCACATGTCTGCTAAGCAGAAGTCGGATAGCGAAGTCCTCCATGGTACTTGTCACAATAATCCCACCAATTTTGCTTGGCTTCTTCCGACCTGCACCATTGCATCAAGCAAAAAAACGAATCTTCACAACCTAAAAGAAAGCTGAAGAAACAAGATAAAACTGCAAAACTGTTGTGACAACAACATGCCAGGGATGCGCCCGCAAGATCTCTGTCAATTTCTGCACCTGCAGTCCAAAGTGGCTCGTGTACGGACGTGGAGTGTCCAAATTCTACCGTGAATTATCATGAAACTTCCGTGGTGCGCTTTCAGTAGAAGACATCACGTACTGCCCCCCGAACACGTGGGCTCCTTACCGCCAAGCCGCCCAGAGTTGATGGGCAGCTGCGTCTGACCTGGAAAATTCACAAAGGGAACTCGGGCTTCACCCACCAACGACACTTCATGAAATTCCAGCTACAAAAAAATAGAACCCACAAATCAGAGCGCAGGTTGAAGCCAAGGATAATGCAGGAAAGCTCGTGTTCCCTGTTGGAGCCTACCATTCTACGTCATTCTTTACGCTCAGGGCTGCATTTTAGGACAAAAACTGATTGATGCGTTGTTTTCAATGTGTATCCACGGTGCCAGAACAACGGTCAAACTGTGCGGCACCATTTCAAGTTTCAGAACGGCAAAGAGGCACACAAAGGGTCAACGGGCAAATGTATTCCTTGTGCCTTGAAAAAATCAAATGATCCACCTTGTTGCTCTTGCTGCCACTTTGGTTCTTCTTTGGTTGCATACAACATGCCAAAACGACGTACTCTTTCTTTGACCGCAATGTATTGTGCCTGAATGTCAATCAAGCCCATCCAGCGACTCGTAAAACGATGCCAGTTTCCAACCAAAGATAGGATCAGATCCGATCAAATCGGTTACTAGGCAAAACCCCTACTAAATTGGAATCATCAAAGTCAGATTGCATGCAGACAGGGATGCAACAGAACACAAGTGGCAGGAATCCACATTTCCTCTCTTGAAGGAGGTGAGAGCCAACCTGCATGGCGTATAGCACGCTAGACTCGGTAGCCCCTAAACTCTAGACCCACGTCAGTCACAAGAAAAATTGTTCCACTTGCTGATGAGTCCATGATGGGAGATGGCAATGACTGCGACAGCTGGACCACCTTTAAATTCGGTGAACGAGATGAACAAATGTTCAAAAATCCTTGCTCATTAGCAGGGTTGGCAGACAAGCCTGTGACACGATTTTCCACATTGAACGCCGCCGAAGAACACAAAAAATCGTTTCCAAAGCTATCACAAGCTGCCATGTTATTCGGAACTCCTCGCATTCGACATAATGCCCAAGTTCTGCATTCACCAACGCACTCATATATACTGTGTGTATGTGAGTATTCGCTGCATATTCTTGCGACTCACTGCTCACACTTGGGACACCCCACAAGCATGGGTTTAACCAACATGTTCACACACTGAGTTCACGGGCCTCAGTTTCTGCACGCTCCTTGGCAAACCACCTTGCTCTCGTATTTGGAAAAAGCGTCTCAAAGACTGCAAGCTGTGCCTGCCCACGCGGCTCCAAGCAGCAAAACCACGTGATCTTGCTCGATTCAATCATCGCAAGGTAGCAAAGATATAGCATTGCAAACAACAATCGCACACTACTCGTGAGTCTAGCCATGTGTGAATCAAATGGCTTTGCTGCTAGTCCATCTTTGGAAAGTGGTTGTGCAAAGGCTGCATGGTCGACCTGAAAGGATGGCCTGTGGAATCTCTCAAACTTCAACGGCGCTCGTTTTGACTTCTTGAGTCAGCGCAGAAAGTTACAAACCTTGGTACACTTCTCTTCTCAAGCGCGCGTCATCCTTGCAACAGGGCGCTCATGCAGTCTCAACACCCCGCCTTAGGATACATCAGTTTCTTTGTGCGTCCTACGTTCTAAGTTCTCAATCTCTATATTTTGTGAAACTTCTTCTGGCCTCCTTCTGCTGCAATGAGCCGCAAGGCTGTAGACCCTGCAGGTGGGTTCCACTCCTCAAAGTCTTCATCTGTCTCTTGCGCGATGCTGTCTTCTACCCATTGTTCGTAGTCACTGCATTCTGGGCCTCTTGACTCACGTCCTCAAGCCCTGACTTCTGCATGCCCACTTCACCCTCAACAAGAACCACTTCCAACATGTCACACACCAGCAACTCTTCACGCAAAGAACTGCCAGTGGCAAGCACATATTCCTATAGATGCTCGACAGACCACAACCTCCTGACACCCTTGGTCCTTCATCCCTCGTCATGCTCTGACCTTGCTTCTCACCTACACCCTATCTCGACGAATGCTTTCGTCAGCTTCTCTGAACCTTGCAGCGAGTATGTCCGCGATGGGTTTGAGCCACAAAATCCTGCGCTTCGGACCGTAGTCACTGATAGTAGACGCGACAAGGGTCAGAGTATCACTCACAACGGGTCTTGCCGTTGCGGAGGCGACGACTGGCCCCTGTCCTCATTACTGCATCCGCTGCATCCAAGGGAACCCAACACTGCAAGCCTCTAGATGAACTGGACCAATCCCCCTGCTCCTCCACACCATGCCATGTCAGATGGCATGGATCATTACAGTAAAACAGTACTGTCATCGCACTGGAGTGAACCAGTGCTCCGCTACCAATCTCAAACTTCCACGGCGGTCGTTCTGACTTCTCCAGCCACTGCGGTAAGTTAGAGAACTTGGTACACTTCTCTTCTCAAGCCTTGCAACTGGGTGCTTGCGCTAGGTTTTGACCGAATCTTACCTATGATCCGGATGGGTCACAAAGGTTTAAGCAAGAAGGGTTCACAACGTCTCTCCTGCTTCTTCAATAGCGTTGGACACGTGTCCGGCCTTTGCGGGTCACGCCGGTTGCTTTTTCCTTCCAACCTTGCAGAACACACACAACACAAAGTTTCTGCACGAGCGGAAAAGTCGGTGTCATACATATACAGTAACTTTTTTGACGTTTAAAACGCTTGACCAATCTGACCCCTCTATGACCACTCTCAGTCAAGGAACTCGCAAAATGCCCACCATTGCCTGCACGCAAGAATCGCCACTGCACCGCCAATGAACCAATGGGATGCAAACAAGGCACTGCTTGCTTTCCTCCCCCTCGCGCTGAACCTGAATTTCGCAACATTTCTTTGGCTACAAGTACAAGGCCCGCAGGCACAAGGGAACCTTTATACGGCTCGGCCGCGGCAGCAAGGCTGATCAAATTGCGAAGAAATCTCGCGCGAGGGGTTTAACGCGTGGTTCAGAAACGCCCCGGCAGCGGCAGGGCTGCATGATGCGCACGGCAGGCGCAACAATGCGCAAACGCTCATTTCACGGCGTCCACTGCCAGCAGCGCAGCATTTGGTGGACGCTGAGCGCATTTCCTTCCAGGCACGGCGCTGCGCGCCTGGAAGCGCAGACCTCATGGCAGGCGTAGTACTTCGTGATTCATGCGCGCCTTACGCTCTCACGTTGCAATATCGCATCTCTCTCATCCTCGTGGGTGTGTGTGAACCTCTGTCACAATGCGCCTGCCACAAAATCTGCGCATCGAGGTTCACAAAGCGCTGCGCCTGTCACGAAATCAGCGCTTCGAGGTTCACAAAGCGCCGCACCTGCCGCGAAATCTGCACTTCGAGGTTCACAAAGCGCTGCACCTGCCACGAAATCTGCGCTTCGAGGTTCACTAAGCGCTGCGCCTGCAACGAAATCTGCACGCCAAGGTCCACAAAGTTGAAGTACTGCGCCTGCCACGAAGTCTGCAAACGAGCCACATGGCCAAAAGTCACAATTCACTGCACCTGTCACAAATCAGGGCGCCTCGAAGATCACCACCCTGTCGAAAGAGCTGCACCACCTGCCACGAAATCTCCACTTCGAAGCAAAGCCGCTCCGATCTGTTGCGCCTGCCACCAAAACACGAGGTTTCCCTTGCGCCTGCCACGAAAAGTGACCACCATGTCCGAAAATGGGCGCGGCGCCGCAACAAGAGCGCAGTCGCGACAAGCGCCTGCCGCGCACGCGCGCGCGCGCAAGCCTGCGCAGTCGAAATGCGCTTCGAGGATTTCGAGAGGCATGAATGCACTGTAAATAGCAGTGAATTAGCCAGACACGGCCGCGCAACACAGCGATCTAACAGAACCCCTAAGCGTGTCCACATTTTTTGGGGGAATCCTTTTTTTAACACATGGACTTGGTTTTAACCTTCTTCTTCTAAAAAAGTTTTCTGCATCGTAGCTGCACTGCGGCCATCCTCATCCAGCTCGAAACCTGTCGAGCCTCACGCCCTCAAACATTGCCTCAAAACATCATGGAGTTGTGCGTGCGTGCGCGTAAACCGTTATCGCCTGCAGGGGGTCAGGGCGCGAACCGTTGGTCCCAACAAAGACGCCAAGGGACGCCTATTTCCAATTTGCACAGTGTGGAATGGCAAGCAGCTTCGCCCACAACCGCATTCACACCCACAAACGCTGTTGTCGTCCTTGCTCACTTCAGGCCATGGCTAACAGGTACGGGGCAGAAGAAAGCAGATCGATGACATCAATCAGCTCAAGCACAACTGCTAGGGATGAATCATGGGTGCCGGGGACAAACGCTCCCCACAATTAGCAGCTCCAGCGCACAAGTACCATGCACAAGTACAGGCAACTGCCAGTACAGCTCAGACACTCAGAGACCTTAACCAAGGCCTGGTCATCCAACCTTGGATCGCAGGAGGGCTCCTCCAAAATTTGTTCATGGTGTGGGCCACCTCAACAGACCACGAACAAAAGATCCAAAGGCAGTGCCTTGTCAAGACCTCTCCAAAAGAAATGCCCCACACCGAATACAGGGCCACGGAAAACAGGCTTCCAACAAGAAACCTCCACCGAATCATCGTCCACAGAGAGGTCTTCCAAAAAATCATCAGGGCGCATTCGACACTCATCCCTCCCAGCTTAGAGGACAAGGGGGTCCTTCTCTCCAATGAAACCTTCAATAAGGCTACATCAACCAGTTGACGTTCGCTTACATATAGTACCCGTCTTTCTCAGGCGGTTTTTTTCACCTAAGCTTCCCAAACCGAATGCACATTTATCCCAAGCGTGTGTGTGTGTGTGTACGCGGGCGCGTGAACACATGTTATTGGAGGGGGACGTGGCATTTCAGTGGGACTGTGTCCAACGAAGCTACCAGTGGGCGTCCTCCAAAGAAACATATGCTTGGGAGGGCGAAGTTGCTGGCCTGCAGCTTCATTCCACTTTACGATGGCCTTCTCTGCCTCCGCCCGCCTCGACTGTCCAGCTGCGCCAGCAAGCGTTGCAAAAAAGCGTTCAATCTCCTCTTTTCCTAAATCCCGGCTCAGTCGCAAAGGCGACGCCAAGTTTTGACCTAGTCTTGCGAAAGCACGCGCAGCTGCTCTACGGGTATTCTTATTCTCCGCGCGCTTGCTCGCCATGGCTTCGCTGGCAAGACAGGAACTGCTGCGTATCGCTGTAGCTTCCTCCTGCTGGGTTCTCCCTGCTGCACAGCTGCTTCCAACCACAGCATGATTTCCAGCCATTGCATTGGCTCTGACCTCTGCAAACAAGTGTCTACCTGTTTTACCCAGGCCATTATTTCACTTAGGCTTCTCAGGGCTTGGGGCGATCAGTTCAGTACGCATTTCCCGTGTGTGTGGGTGTGTGTTTGCGCTTTCATGTGTGTGTGCTCATTGTCTGTTTGCCCTTTCAGATTGTGTGTGTTTACGCACGCTTATTTCCCAAGCGTCTCTCCTTGCAAGAGCCCAAGGTGTACCCTAGGCGGACGGAGTAGCCTTGCGCCAGTCAAGATGCGCTTGAGCAGGTCTTCTGCTCGTGTCCGCAGCGGACCGGAGAAGCCCGCCATTTTGGCATGGACCCCAGCGGTCGCAGTTTTTCTCGGTCCGGTGAGACCGGCCCCCACCAGGTGCACACAGCGCTCACCTACACAACGAAGGCGAAGTTAACCTAGGTTAGGTTCGTTTGATGAGGTTTGGCTTCGTCGATTTCCGACCCCTGCATTTGGCTTTCCCCTTTTCACCCTTTCCCCCACCTACACTTTCTTTTCCTCTGTCTTTTCATGCCTTTTCTGCCTTCACGCCTGGTCATTTCATCCTTTTTCAAGCAAGTCTGGCTCATCGGTCGTCCCTGTGCACTTGGTTCCTTTTCATCGCAACCACATAGGTTTGTCTTGTCGTCCTCTCTCACGTCTTGTGTTTTTTGCCCATTTTCGATCCCTCCTATTGAGTTGGCGTTGGCGTTTGAAGCTTAGAGCCCTCCCAGAGCACTCACCAACCCAAAGCCCAGCACGCCTTTTTTGCAATGGCGCACTGCAGCCAGCCACCCAGCAGGCATGGGCTGGCCCACTTCTGGCACCTTCAGCCACAAAACAAGGGGTGGGCGCAGCTTCACAAAGCTTGCAGCTACCAAACTATGCACCCTGCGTTCCAATAGTTGTTCACTGGAACTGTATCCAACGAAGCTACCGGTGAAATGGGATATATCCAGCTTGGCCAGCTGGACGTACCTGCCTCGATGATACCTTTCATTTCCTATTGGTCCCTGCTTCTAACTACAAGATTTCCAGCCATTGCATCGGTTCTGACCTCTGCAAACAAGTGTCTACCTGTTTTACCCAGGCCATTTTTCACTTAAGCTTCTCCACACCTTGGGGCGATCAGTTCAGTACGCATTTCCCGTGTGTCTGGGTGTGTGTTTGCGCTTTCGTGTGCGTGTGTGTGCTCATTGTCTGTTTGCCCTTTCGGATTGTGTGTGTTTACGCATGCTCCCATCTGTGCGCTCTCAGATGGTCTGTTCCTGCCTGGGGTCTCTTGCGCCTATATAGTATATAACTGAAAAGCTCTTTGTTTCGGATGCACAAATGACATTTCAGATGCGTTTCCGTCAGCCTGCTTCACTCGTTTCACCAATGAAGTATGTTCGTCAGGATCCTCACAGTGTGGATGGCAAAATTGATCTGGATGCAGCATGCGCTCTTGAGCATGTTCTCCAAGCTTGCACCAACCCTTCCCTTGCCAACACATCAACGACCTTTTTCCCCTCGCTTCGAGCTGAGGAACGTCACCACAGGATGACCACGCCGCGCATGCCATGCATGCAGCACACACAGCAGGGCGCGGGCCGAGATGGCCTGATGACTCATTCAAACGCACCCATCAGCGCAGCCCCTCATTTTGATTGTGCGGACGCCACTTGTGGCAAATGGTTCCTCAGCTGACATCATACGTCCGAGCAGGGAGATTAGAAGCATGCAACATTAATGCAGCTTTGCAGTCAGTTGCTGCTCTCTTGCCCCTTCACTTGTTTGTTCTGCAACATGCGTGCTTTCAGATTTCATGATTGGCAGAACGATACTTGCTCTTGGTCGGCATGCAGCAGAGGTGTTCCGCGGGATACAGCTGTTTGGCAATATAGATGTGCAAAAACAAAAAGGTCGGAATCTCTTGCACCTCTAAGACTCCCATGTTGATGCTAACACTGCTTTACACTGCTCACTAGTGATGGAATAATTCTCCTGCACCTGAAAAACGAAAAGCATCAGTAGCTGCGTGTTTTTGTGGGCAACACCATTTTGTTGATGGGAGCCTGTTTCTCGTCGGGTAGTCCAAATCATTCCAAACCCGAATGCAGCTCAGAGAAAGGAAGCGCCTACACCACAAGCCGGAAATCTGATTGTCTTGTTCCCAATCGGTGCTGGCTGGGAGCTCAGCTTTAAAATGCGCCTGACACTTGCACTTGCGCACACTGAAGAGGAGACTTGCAGTCTGTTGCAACAGTTGGAACATCTCAAAACGGCTGTGTCGACAAGGCCGAAAGATCTAGCCAAACAAACCTGGCGGTGGTGGGGGAAAGATTAGGAATCTCTTTAATTCAATGCCTTAAAGTGGATGTGAAGTCCGGATTGAATACAGGCCAAACCTGCTGAGAAATTCTCAGACTTGGGAGCAACTCCATTTGTCGAGCCCTATACAGTCTTCGGGCACTGGGGTTATATATTATGTATTATGGTATGGGCAGGGAGAACTTCCCTCCTCCTACCTAGTTCTTCTGTGCTGCCTTAGATATCTACACCGTCTACACCTATATCTCTGCTTCAACAAGGTTTGTCAATAGAGCGCAAACATGGGCCTCATCGAAAGCGACTTTAACTCAGCTTTGCCACCCACTTCAGCAATCTCATCACGCAGAAGTGCATTTTTGCGTTGTTGGGACATCCTGGCCATTGGGGTGCAACAACACCTCCTGCGCTAGTTCTGAAACGTTAACCTTTTTAACATCAACCTGTATACTATATAAATAGTCCGAAAGACAGCGCCTTCACAAGTCTCAGTCACCACCATCTACACCTGAAACCTAAACCTCTACAATTTAATCCAAATCACTTTGATATGTTATTGAAATCTATGGAAAAACTGCTTTCAGCTTGGCGAGTGACAACCAGCTTCCAAAATCATGGGTCTGGCCACGATAGCTCTTAAGTTGTTCCTCACACCGATCAAGTTTTGCATGAAGAAGCGCAAGGCCTTTCTCCAAGCATCTGACTTCCAAGTCACTCCTTCGCTCTTCAACCCACAAACCTGCAGACTCACGCTGCAAATCATGAATCAAATAATCTAGCTGCCGCACTTCCTCCAGAAAAGCATCTTGGGATTCTTGGACATTGGGGGCTGGAGTCGAGATGCTTGCTGTTGCTCTCCTCCATGTTTCAAAAGTGTTTCTTTCCCGCAACAGCTGCTCTTGCTTCTGTTGCTGGCAATGGATGCTTGCCCTCACAGCAGCCTCATGGGATTCAAGACCATGACACTCTTCACGCAAACACAGCGTACGTTGACTCTGGCCAACTTGCTGGCACAAACTCATTGTCAACGATTCTTGCTCTTGCAGATGTTGCGCCGCCAAAACTTGCATAAGCTCTCCCCAATCAGCAGAGGTCCCGTTTTCGGTTGTGGCTGAAAAAGGGACCACTCCAACGATCAACCTGCACAACGGCCAGGTCACCAGAACACAAAGTTGAAAGTTCATTGACTGAAGCATCTGCGAAACTCAGGAACCCGGACAGGAAGAAATGACGGGTGGCTGACAATCCACGAAGATCAGTCAGTGAAGTCAATGTTTGATACCAATACATACTGCTTGCTACAGCCAATCAACCCGTTGTTTAAGCCTGCCAAAGCAAACATGGGATGACTTTCCTGACATGTCATTGAAAGCGTAATGTTGGACATTGACAAGAGAGGCTAAAAGCAAATCTCACCCTCCGTGTCTAAAAGCCTGGCGCGCGTGTAGTGTCCCCTCCCATTGGACGTGTATACACCAAAAAACAAATTAGTGGCTTAGTATGCGCCACACCGCTAAGCCAGCTGGTTTCACTTTCTGGCCTCTTTTTGTGTTATTTGCGCCGCCAAAATGCTGCCAATCGACAAGTTGAGGGCAATTTGCCTCCAGCGCTCGGCTGCAGCTCTGGCACTCGCATTCCTCTCTTCGGTGTTTTCAATCAAGCGCAGCAGCTCTTGAATACGACTTTCAGCTGCTTCAGCTGTTTCTCTCATGGAGCACCCAGAGAGGCTCATGCGCAGCTCATGCACCAAGGGGAGCTTCTCTTGGACTTCAAGTCAACTTCAAGTGCAAAGAATGCTAGAGTACCTTTAATACAATAACACCGAACCACAACAGTCTTGGACAGTCTTGGACAGTCTTGGACTCTAAACCTGCTGAAATCGTCATGTGGGAGGGTCCCTATGTTCAGGCTACGTAATGTGCCTTCTAGTACTCCACGCAACAAAGACAAGCTTGAGCAGGGATCAAGTGATTGGCAGGAGCATTGCAAGAGTGTGGCATTTAAGACCTGAATCTTCCAACTGAGAATCTAGGGCCCCAGAAAATCAACAGCTGTTTCCCTGCATCTTTCAACGACAAATCCTTCTCCTCCATTCCATGTGAAGGACGGCACAGCTTTCAACAACTGGTTGCATCGATCCTTGCTTGATACTGTGGATACTACACAAAATGACAATAGAGCCAAGGGCCAACCTCAGTGAAACCATTATGTAGATATAACAAGCCTTTATAGTCAGTTTCTTGCAGCCTTAAAACCATTTGCAGTGAGCCTGGAATGAGCAGGCTGGATGCAAAAGTTCATTGAAACTATGGTTCTGTAGAAAAATTGACAACAATTTCTCAGTTTTTACCCGACACTTAAGACGGGGCTAAAGCCACAAAGCTCTGTCAGCAAATTTCCAACCCAAAGAGATCCAAAAGGGATGCGGATGAGTGAGAGGCTTCGAACGATTTCACAATCACGGTGTTTTGAACCAAAATTGTGTCGAGTCAAAACTAAGACATGCCATACAACATGTGCAAAACCACTGTTTTTTTCGTTGAGACTAAAGTATTGCCTCTATTGTCTAGCTAGAAACCTGGAATAGTGTTCAGCTTCCTTGTTGGGCCGTTGGGCGCTGTCTTTTCGCTTGCACACTTGCAATTCATGTCTGGGTCATTCTCTCTTCCTAGTATGGTCAATATGTGAAGATACCTGTGCAATCAAACCAAAGCTATCCTGTATCCGTCTCTGCTACCTTTAGCATCATTTCTTCGCAACTGCATCAGCTTCAGGTCCACCGGGGAGAGACGGACCTAGGAAACCCAAACATGTCAACGTGTAAGTGGTTCGCAAGAGGTTGATTGAAGACGACACTCTGTCAAGAATTGACCTATAGCAGAAAGCAGCTGAGAGTTGGACGCAAATGAAAGAATTCAGGATTGAATCTGTCCCGGAACAGTCGGGCTTGCCGCCTCCTCAGAGATCTTCACGACGAACCACTTTCCACGTCATACTCACTTCACAGTTTTTCTGCGGAACTCGAAGCAGTCAAAAGCGAAGGAGGAATGAACACATGTGTTCTGACAGGCCTATCCCAACAAGGTTTGCTCATAGTGGAAGCCCAAAAAAACTTGTTGGTTTTTACTGGCGAACGAATGGTTTGGGAGCATTGAAACACATGCATATATAAGATCTGTTGTTGTTCAGTCTGTCACTATGTTGTATCTCTCGTGAAAGGGGAAGCTCTCAAACGACCGAAGGAAGTGCAGCGCTATCGAATGCAAAGCCGCAGGCTTTTGACGCTCATGCCATGCCGTCGCAGCGGCGTCGAAAGGTAAATCGACTCAAGCAGCCCGCTTGAAGTTGGGCCACAGTGCAACAGGGGGCAAAGTGGTTGGGGAACCATGCAACTCCTGGTCAAAAGCACCCAAGAGAACAACAGTCGGATTTTCACACACTGGTGTTTTTCTCTTTCCTCAACCAATGCCACATACGGGTGCTCCAGTCAGCTCTGGAATGCCAAACAGAGCTGCTTGTCCTGCTTTGTCAAGCAGTCAGCCCACATGAATTCAGTGGGCACCCACCGACAATCGTCGTCGACGATGTAATCCTGAACCGACCGGATAGCGATCATCGTCCGCTTCTCGGTCGTCGACAAGTTGGTCGAAACCAGTGACTTGCAGTCTGTACACTGCAGCTGGCGGAGAGCACGTCCAGGATCTCGGGGACCGCCGGGGGTGTCTGTAGAGCAAGTGCATCTGTGTCCACCGCCTCATCCATCGCATTGGCCTCCGAGGCCAGGGTGGATCTGGTGACCCGAGGTGAGCGAGCGCTCTTCCAATCCAAGATGCTCACCTTCTGCTGCACTTTGGGTGAGCCGACGAGCGCAAGACTTCCCATCTGCCACATGAAGAGTCTCCATACCCCATCAGCATTGCAGCCTTGTCAAAGGCGACCGGGTGGCTGCTTTGCCAGGGTGATGTACTCATACATGTCCCGAAGGTCGGAGGGCTTGGTCTCGGAGCCGCGGTTTGCCAAGCTCACAGCTGAACAGAGGTTGGGTCTGGTTTGACCTCCGAGCCATTGGAATGACCCTGCCACCGAGCGGAACTCCCGCTTCTCCTCTTCATTGAAGCATTCGGCCTGAAGTCGGCCTTGAGCAGGATCTTCCCGTTGACCTTGATCACGCAAATCTCCTTCCCACGGAAGACAATGTGGTTGGTCTCATCCAAAAGGGTCTTTGAACCCCAGATGAACATCTCTTCGAGCTCGGAGAGGGGGTAATCAGGTAGTCCTCCCGGAACGTCACCAAGAAGTCGTCCACATGGACTATCATGACGGCCAACAAGTAGCCGGCCTCACCACGCTTGACGTACAGGTTGCCATTCACCTTGTACAGGTCGTGGGGAAAGGTGCGAGCCAGGGCTCGTACGCCGTCACGAGGTGGACGCATCCAAATTGGCTGATCTCGCTGCTCTGGAAGCGCCTTGGAGAAAGGCGGTGGAGCGGTGACAATGCTTGCTAGTGCACTCGACCAGGCCAGAGAAACCAGCTGTGGCCAGTTGTAGTAGAACAAGTTCAGCAAGCTTGGATGGTGTAGGACTTGCCCTGTTGAGTAGAGCAAGGTCGGGATCCAAACATCCCAAAATGACCGTCCGGCCTTTGGCCTTGATTCTAGGTCCAGCGCCTCGCAGCTTGTCGCGGTAGGCGTTGCGAGAGGGCACAATGCGCTTGCGCGTGGAGGGCGTCTTCTTGATCAACGTGATCTCTTTTTCGACTGGAGTGATGCAGCCCCATGCAAGCCAGCTTTGGTACTCTTTTTGGCCAGAATGTACGTCTTTAGCGCCAGGGAATCTCTCGGTCAAGAGCTTTCCTCTCCTGGCGGCTGAGAGTGGCCATGGTAGGCTCCTTCTTGCGGTTGTTGCCATCTTCATCGGATGAGGAGGAATCAGTCTCAATCTCCTTCACCTCGACTTTGGCGGCTGCCACGCGCCACATGTGTGAGCTGTAAGGCGCGACGGGAGAGGTATTGCCATCCCAGCTGCTCCTGATCACCTTCATATCAGGGTTGTAGTAGGGCTCCTGTGGCACATCCTGGACGATGAAGGTGAAGTATCGCCTCTGTGTGCTTGGTAATGAGTGAGACTGATGAGGCATTCTCGTGTCCTCCATCTGCTGTTGCTGTTGCTGCTACTGCTTGTGATGCTTGTTCATGTTCGGTTGCAGTGGACATTGCAGGTGATGTAGGGATCAGTTCATGATCTCCTGAGGCTGGTGCTTCATAAGGTACTGGCTGTTATGGTACATAGCCAGGTGCCTGTTGTTGCTGTTGCTGAAGCATGTATCGTTGTATGTCTTCTTGCGCTGTTGTCCGCTGCTGCCGTGCATGTTCTCGCATGTTTGCTTCTGCCTGAGGGAAAGGAACCATATCCCGTGTCAGGCTGTCTGTCCGAGGCCTTACATTGCGTTCTGGAGGCTCGGCGCCGAAGTGCTGGTGGATGTTCTGCCTGATGTTTTGCTTGTATGTAGGTGAGAAACGTGTGTTTGTGGTTGTTGAGGCGGTTGTGGTTCATGATGTGAAGGTAATGGAAGTGGAGCCAGCGCCAGTTGTGGTGGTACTCCAAGAAGTGGTGCCTGTTCAGCCTGTTGGGATGTCCAGTGTATCATCAACCTGAGCGTCAGGCATTGTCACATCAGGCTCCATTGGCTCTTCTTGAGGAGGTCCGGGTCCGCGTTGGTCTTGCCACAAGCCATCGACCAGGGTCTTCCCAGCGTTCTTCAGGGCCTTCACATCTTTGGCGCTGGGTGTCCAGCTTTCCAGTCCATACGTGGGCCTCAGCTGTTCATAGGTGACCTGCACGGTGGCGCCACCGGCCTGCAACCAAGCGCTCTTGGTGTCTGGGTCGTGGATGAGCATCCGGCCAAGTACATAGCCGCCACGTTTCATTCCACCAGACTTCTTTGACCATCGCCAAAATGCAGAGATGCGCCTTTCCACCGCTCCAATCCTCCAGCGGGCTTCAGGAGGTATTGTGGGCACATGAACACCGTTCTCCTCCAAGGTGCTGCGAAAAGCTCCATCGGCATCAACTTCACAAACCAGAGGGAAGCCGAACGGTGTAAGCCAGGCACGTCGGAAGCACTCAAGAACGCGCTCGCTGTTCCTGCTGTGGAGGCGGATGGCCTGTTGGAAGGCTGTCGCAAAGGTCGACCATGCCCAGGTCAGCATGGTTGGCGCCTGACAAGAAAGTTGGGAACTGACGCAGGCCGTGGCGAAGCGGGCGGCTTATAGTCCTTTGGCGCGAGCCACATACCATTGTCTCGAGGCCATTCAAAGTCGCTGCATTGACGGAGCCGTGAGCTGCAAGTAGTCGAGTCAGCTCCTGCTTGCTGGCATGGCCTGTAGTCGCGCAACTGAAGCTCGAAGAGCCGCTGCATGGAAGTGTCTTCAGTGCTGTCGGAAAGGTGATGTCAGTCCTTTGGGGAAAGTCAGTCCCATCACCTTCAACAAAGGCAGGGCCATGTCAGAGAACCTCAATGAGCGAGAGATCACACAGCTTCGAGGCCTCCTGATCAGCTCAATGGCCCGTCACCACACTTGCAGCGCTCTACATCCATGCTGTCAAGCCAGGTCAACCAGGCCACCGTTCAGACCCTTCATGAGCGCAACCGCCTTCTCAAGTTCTGCAAAGAGAACAAAGATGTCGGGCTCGCGTACAACCAGATTTGGTTCAGGACCTGACGGCAACT